CCATGCTGCGACCAATTATTACCTACGCCTGTCCCGTCTGGGGTTTTGTGTGTAAAACTAGAATGCTTAAAATTCAGCAAAGCCAAAATATTACGTTAAGAAGAATGACCAATAGTCCCTGGTTTTTCAGGAATGAGGCGATTCATAACGAGCTAAATATTGATAAAATTAATGTATGCATAGCAAAACTAGCGAAGAAATTTTTCAATAATATTGAAAAAGTCCAAAATAGCTCCATCCCCAGATTAGACTATGATTATGCAAGCAATAATAATAGAAAAAGACCAGGCGCGGTTAAAAACAAATTTTTAACCTTGAGCTAGGCGAGCATATATGCATATTACACAGAAAAGATGAATGTTGCCACTCACTGCAATGAAGATTTCCTCCATACATCTATCGATGATCACCTATTATCATAATCTGGTGTCAAAAGATCCGGACTTCAAAGTGGTCACAGATAACAGACTGTTGAATACAAAACACTTTCCAAGCGAAAAGCTTTCTTCTCCCATGTGATCAAAATCTGATGACTTAGTGGCTCCTACACAGTTTATGAAACAACGGGAACAATTTACGAAACCTATCCATCACCTGTGTCATATTTTTGTTGCTGTGGTTCCATTCATAGACCCCCACACTTTTCACTAAGAGGTCCTCCAAAGTACAATCACTATTATATGCCACTGTTCTTTACCAAGCACAGAAAGGTAAGACAATGAACTGGTCAATACACAGATTTTATTCTTTTTCCCAGGCAGTCGCATGGCAATCACACTGAAATTCACATGAGAAGCACGGTTGCCATATTAGTGATCAGGATGGCAGGTACAAAACCTGCCTGCCATCCATATCTTACCATCTTATACTGTTACATACACTTAATTCATGTGCAAAGGGACTATCTGTGCCACACTGTAGTTATATAGTATGCACTGGTAATGTAGTTTTGGAGCTTTAAATCATTTATTCTTTTCACTGCATCATTGGAAAGAGAATTTAAAAGAGATTGAAAATAAAAATGTTAAACTATTTTTGAATTTATAATTATATCTCGTTGTAAAGAAAGTTTTTCATCAGAAAAATTTTCTTAATAAAGTTATAAAAAAAAAACACATGAAAGTTGTACGTTTAGTGCAGGTAGTAATCACCACCTAAATCCATGATTTTCTGCCAAAGTTTGGTAGTTTTTTGGCACAGAAACTCCAAAAACAGATGACTTCATTTTGGACAAACTGTGCAGAATGGAAGAGCATCAGCAAGATGTAGCTGCAGATGTGAAAAAAAGGTAGAAGTCCAAAGGAGCAATGTCGGGGCTATATGGTGGGTGCGGCAAAAGATCCCTTTCGAGTCCGTACAGAGACCAGCCGGTGAATGCAGACACATGTGGTCTTGCATTATCTTGATGGAACATTACCTTTTTTTGTCAGAACTCAGTTCGAATTTTGCTTTCATATCAATATCAGCACAGACTACCATCTCATTGTACACCTTACTGTCAAAGGTTTTACCTTTTTCAGATACTCTTTGTGGATAATAATACGGCAATCCCACCAGATACAAAGCATGATCTTTTTATTAGTCAAACTAAGTTTTGCAATGCTGCCAACGGTATCACTGGGAGCAGACCAACTCTCTTTTTGGCCTATGTTGTTGAAGCAAATCTCCTTATCATCAAAAGTGACGATCCGGTCCAGAATTTTATTTTTGTGTTGATATTCGAGTAGATTGGGGCAGGCCCGAACATGCCTCTTCTTATCTGCTTGAGCCAGCTCACGAAGGACCCAGTAATTGAACTTGTACATCAAGTTTATGCAATGCATAGTGTAACTAATGGACATGGCACTAACATCCAACTCCTTAGCAAGCTCTCGAGTTGTTGCACACATCTTCTTTTACAAGTTCTCAGGGGCGGGCCTCATCAAAACCAGTAAGATTGCCAGAGATGATTCTTGAATGTCATACCCCTTCTTTTTGAACTTTTGGTGCCAAACTTTCACAGTGTTATATAATACAACATTAGTACCAAAAACTGTTCACATGATTTGGTGACATTCTTTAGCTGACGTTTTGCAAATGAACTCGAAGTAAATGATGGTGCTAATCTGGTAATGCGATAGTTCTGTTTCAGACACCTTGCATTTAATAATAATGATATTTATTTACAAACTTTACAATACATTATTCTAAAGCAAGTTTCTTTCTTTCAAATACCAAAAATTATTTGACAAAATATGATTAAACATGTCAATGCGAACTGTTTATGCAGATGATGTTTGCAGTGACAGGAAACTTTAATTAAAACCTGATATTACAGTCCACTATGAAATCATGTGAACACGTATTTAGCTGAAAAATGGTGAATTGTTATAAAACTGCGTTCACCTTTATGAAAACTACACATTGGCAAAAGGATGCCAAAATTTTTCTCAAACTATTAAGTTACTTATAAAACACACATAAGAGATGAAAAAGATGCATACATTTTTTTTTACCTTGTTCAAAACAAAGGAAGTATTGTAATTACTAAAGGAAGTATTGTAACTAAAGGAAGTATTGTAACTACTACTATTGTACTTACTTTCAAGTATCATATTTTAATGGAAATACCCAGTTTGACTGTTCTTGAATCCATTTTGAAAATTTTTTTGGATGACACCTGTGTGTACAGACAAAATAAAGCACTCTTTCTTCCAAAGCAGATTGTAAATTCGCATAACTCAAAAACGATTAGCCACAGAACATTGAAATTTTGTGCATGGGACTGCTATAACATTTAGTTGTGCATTTCCCTTTTTCATTGCAATCAGCAATACTAAAAGTATATAAGTATATAACAACATTATATATATATATATATATAACCAACCCCTTACTCAGCTTAAAAACACTTACCTGGCCCTTGGCCTTTATTTTTGCTATCGTTGCTTTACTTTTAATTATAGAAGTGTTTTAAATGACGAAATTATTCATGTTATGGAAATGTCAAATAAAAAAAATCTAATATTGCCCAAATAATGACTTTTAATATGGTCTTCCAGTTCCTGTACTTATATCTGGCGAAGTTTTTTTACTCGTTATGAAAAAATAAAAATACAAAAAGTTTGACTCCCATTACAAAAATTACTTGCATATTTAATTTCAAAATTTACAAATTTTGATGTAATTTACAAACTGCCTTAAGTAATTGGTTGATTCAGTTAGAATAATACAAGGCTTAAATGAAATGAAAAAAAAAAAAAAAAAAAAAAAAAAAAAGAGTGTATAATTTAACAGGCTGTACAAGGAAGTCATGTGCCCATATCAGATTTTTTTTTTAGAATTCTGCCTTCTCTTTTAAATCTGGAATGACTGCAGACCATAAATTAATAAAATGTAGTTTAGTAAACCTTCTATATTCCATGAAATATTAAATTTTGATACATTCTATCTAAAAGTTAAAGCAGCCTATATGATGTTGTTTTGACTATCAATGTAAATGTTGATTTTAAATATGAAAAAAGCATTTTTACATGCACATAATGGAATGCATCATCTCTGTCTCTTCCCCCATTTAATTTTTTCTCTTTTCTAGTATTTCCCAAACTTTTTAGAGTCACAACCCACGACTATGGTGGTTATTTTATTTTTCAAATTATACTTCATCATGTCATGATTTTCCATTTCTTTCTAATGATCCTCTGGTCTTTTCTCATACAATTTATCATTATTTTTCATAATTTCTACATTTTGGTCATAGATTCTGATTTGCTGTATAGTATACTTTAGCCAGTTTTCATATTTAGTTATCAGAAAACTCCGTATCAAAACTAGTGTCATTATTATTTTTTTTATTTGAAGATATAAAAATAATTTTAAATGACCTTTGACTTTTTTTTTCATCTATTTTATTTTCAGACACTCAGACAGAAAACTTTTCTTGTCATCAAGACTAGGGTTACTGTTACAAAATGCCCAGCTGTGGTGGGATAGCTTCCCCACAAAGCAGGGTTAAGTTTGCCAGAAAGTGACAGGGGAAGGCAGGGTTGCCAGATTTGCACAAACTCATTCATTGGGCAACATTTGGCTATATGTCATTGACAGAGTGAGAACATTCTGGAGCGCATTCTTGGTGCTTTTTCCTCGAGAATGCTCTCGAAGGTAGGTTAAAGCAATATATACCCTGCCTGTATGCAAAGTAGTAGTATGTTGTGTTCAGTAGTAATGTTTGAGTTCATAGATTAGCTTGAGAGTGAAGTTGTACTTTAGTGCTTTGCAGTGAAGCTGTACTTTAGTGCTTTGCAATGAAGCTGTCTTCACCATTGTAGCCTAAGGCTGTGTTGCTGATTATTTCAGTGTGTTTATCATAGTTTGTGGGCAACTGTAAACATGTCTTTGGAGCTCTCCTGTAATACTGGCAAATAAATTGTATTCTGATTCTTCATAAAGTGTTATCATCAATTACTCCAAATCCACGAACCCGTAAAGAACAACAGTACTATAAAAAAAAAAAAAAAAAAAAAAAAAAATCAACCCCTCCTGGGAAAAAAAAAAAAAAAAAACACTGAACTAATTTATAGTAATTATTAATTAATTAGTAACTGAAATGAAAATTGAACTTGCATAAGAATATACATATTTTTATGAAAAATGTTGGGTTGGCATAAGGCTGCCAATGATTACAGAAGTGCGGGAAAACTGAAGATTAAATTCAAACTAGAAACAATTTTCAGTTTCTGCACACTCCCCTCTAACCATGGCAGATTTATGAAATGGTCAAGGTTGAATTACCAGTGCCCAACACTAAGCCACAAGTAGGCTTTAAAAATGAATAATTTAGTAATTAATTAGCTTTTATTAAAACGGAAAGTACCAATAAACGACATCTGGCACAGCCCATGATATTGTTAACTGTTTCAAAAAAGTCATAATGTTAAAATAATTAGTATCTACCATAAATTATTTTGGTTTAAGTTTTCATATCAATATCAAAGATGATAAAAGAATTTTTGTATTGTTACCTATCTCATTATATGCTCCACTACTTATCAGACGCTCCATGTCTTTTATAGAAATCATTTCCCTCTCTTTACCTTCAGCCCAAAATTGCGTAGCAATTTTTGTAATATTACTACCACCAGAGTTGCTAAAAATAATTTTCATAATGTTACAGAATTAGTATTATAATAAAAATAATTTTCATTATGTCATAGAACTATAACAATACATAAAGCAAATTAACACAATGAGGATAACAGGCACATAATTAAGATAGTATATTAACTATGTTTCCTAGTGTATTTTTCCCTGATTTTCCAGCACCAAGTTCTGAATTTTTTTAATGTTTGCATAATTTTCCCCTTCCTTAATGTGCTCAGAGAACGAGCTCCCATAAATTTAAAAATGGCATAGTCCATGTCGTGATTGTTTTCATCTTACTAACAAAGACAAATCCTTGCAAAATACCTGTGATGGTAATGCCTCTCCCTTCTAACTGCTGAACTTTATGCCAGCTTAATACAAGAACTGACCTATCACAGCTAAACAAACATGAACAGATATTCTATCAATAATTTTGCTGAGTAAGCTGCACATTCACACCTTCTCTAAAATTAGAGGCCTGAGGAGCAGAAGAGACAATATGAACAGGAAAGTGTCAAGTTGCTTGGAAATAGAAAAGAAGATATCTAATAAGATATTGTAATATTAATATTACTATGCATATAAAAATGTGCATTTCTTTTAAAGAAACAATATTGCAATAGTTGCCTGCAGTTTATTCGTAACTACTTTTCATTTGTTACATTTTTACTACAATTCTGTCCTCCAAAATTTAAATAATTTGCATAATTTTCTATCTCAATTTTTGCAAGATAAAATTAGTGAAAAAAGCAAAAATATGCAAGGAAATACAGTAATACAAACATCATGAGATTCTCTCATTATATTCTTCTGAATAAAATAAAGTAATATTCAAGTAATTAATAAAAGAAACCAAAATTTCATTTATTGATTACATGATTTAATAGCTTATTAGTAAATTAACACAAAAAACAAAGTATTATTTATTAACATAAAATAATAACTTTTCAAGAATCAGAACTTAGAAATCAAATGCTTTTTTTCCCCCCAGCAGTAACCCACAACTACAAACAACTTCAGACATTACTGCAACGAAATTAGTTGACAGCAATAAAGAAATGGGTAGCATTTTGCTTCAGTTCAACAGCTCTAGATTACGTCCCATTTTTCTAGGACTAACACTATTACCAAAGTAAGCATAAATTTTAATGCGAGAGTTATCAAACAATGCATTTACTCAAAAAGAACAACAAGTGAGGTGTTTTAGAAATGAAGAAACTCACTGCTTTATTTGACAGAGTGTTCAATACTTACATTAAGTGAATTGTGAACAAAAACAGTAAACTAATTTGCTTTTTATGTTCTTAGACTTTTCAGATAAATGAAAACAGTGAATTATTATTATTATTATTATTAAATTTACACAGAGTGATAAAAAAATTCTAGGGCTAAATAAACCGGTACAGGTCAGTTCGACGCCAACGTTTCGACGCGTGGTCAGATCGACACGAAGGTCGTTTCGACGCGGGGTGAGTTCGTCGCATACTTTTTTTGTTTTTGTTTGACGCCATACTTTTCGTATTTTTAGTTATTTTTAGAATAAGTTTACATCATCATTCAAATAAATGCATTATGCCTGATATAATATGTATTACAATAGATTTTTTTTAGAAAGCCGCAGAATTCATTTTCCCTGCTAAAACATACTCCAGAACTGGAAATGTGCTTGACGATATTGCATGCCTAACTTGTAAGTAAACATTTGTCATCTTAAGTATATAATCCCTCACTCTGAGTATGAAGCTCTATCGTTAACTGCCCCTTCCCGTGGACTCGTATGTGTCAGGGTACTCATAATAATTATGTCGTAAATTGTGTATGTGTCAGATTAATGGGATGTTATGAAATCTCTTCAGATTTGTAGTTATCTATTGCCGATTATCAACGCATGCGCATTTCTCGTATCTTCTCTAAAGAGCCCGTAATCTATTTGAACGCCAGTCGACATTTTTTAATTCAATGCTAGCACTTGCAGCCATAGAAATGTCTGGAAGCGGAAAATATATGACTAAGAGAGGTAAAAAAAAGTATGAGCATGATGGATATTTATATTATTTCCATAATTATATAGAAAATGGAGCAAACAAATCGTGGCATTGTGAAGTTGAATTTTCCAAAAACAATAAATGTAAAGGAAGAATTTACATTGATGCAGTTACGAATGAATTTTTAAAACTTGTTCGAATCATGTTCATGAAGGAAATGCAGCACGCGTGGAAGTTGTCCGCAATTTAACATCAATAAAGCGAAAAGCTGTTGAAACACAAGAAACTCCAGTAATTCGCATTGAAGAAACACAAGAGCCGTCTGTTGGAGCACTAGGACAGTTTTCAAGTAGAGAAGCTGTAAGATTAGTTATTAAACGACGTAGAAAAGACATAAATGCAGCCCCGTTGCAATCAATTGACAGGGCTTTCATTAAACTGCCAGAAAATTACAAATACAGTCAAAAGTCGTTAATTCGGACACCCGTAATCCGGAATGATCTATAATCCGGACCTCAAAGCTAAAACCTTTCTGCGCATGCGCCGCGTTGACACATGCGCATAGGCGTTTACGCGTGCGCGTAAGACCTTTTACGTCTGCACATATGCGTGTGCGCAAGTGCAGAATACGTTTTCGCGTGCGCGTTTTATGTATAACGGACGGAATAAGCTAAAATTATCTGATTATCTATTTCAGTTAATGTTGATGATTGTGTTGTTCCTTAATTTTCGAATTGGATCCGGCTTATTATTTTTTGCAGACTGTAAGAGCAATACTATAAAAGTAAACTTGAACTTTCGATTATATCAAATAGAATTTTCGATGCTGGAGCTCCCAAACGATCTACAAAACGAAAGTATGTTTCGATGTCCATCAAACAAAAAGTGGAATTGTTGCAAAAAATGGATAAAGACATGAAGAAGGTGACAGAGAAGAAGGTGACAGTTTAGTCGGTAGTGAAAACGAAAAAATTTCGATTGACAAGTTAGTCGGTATTCTCGGCACAGCAATTACGTGACTTCACCATTATATAGAACTCAAGTCACTAGATTGTAATTCCTGTAACTATCATCCAAAGTCTGTTTGACTACATGGCTAGCCATATAACAAATGTTCTTGCAGATCTCTGAAGAAAGTAGTGTCTCTTTATTAAATAAAATTATCAATACTCGATCAGCTTCATTTTTGTGCTTTGTAAAAATGTTTTCAGTGACTTCTACTGTTTTCTTAGATTTTTTCCAATTTTACCAGAAGAATGCTATGAGTACAAACTTTACAAGTTAGCGTTTTAATCTATAATTGTTTTATCGGCCACATTCAACTGACCATATTGTGTGCATTAACAATTCCTACTTTTGATGGTAGAACCCCATAACTACTTTGAAAATAATCCACTGCTTGTTGTTTTGTAGAAAAAAGATACAAAATTTTAATAATTTTTTTTTTTCAAAATGCATGGGATAAAAATGCCAATAACAGTTAATTTATATCCTCGTTCTTAAAACAAAATGTTGCTTATTGAGAATCAATCGGGATTACGTCAGACGAAAACACAGATGTTATGAGTATGTTCTTATGTCATGGCCAATTGAATAAAATGTATGTCCCATAATATTGTGTCCATTGTAAAATAAATATGACTCTGCTAACTGCTTTCTTTTATGGAGCAATTTTAACGAACATCAGTGTATTATTATAAAATTTATTTGATATTTTGATTAGATTATTTGACTACAGAAATGCACACTAGGCTTTGTCAGCCAATAATGCCTTTGTAGAGGTTTTCCTAATTGAAAAATAATCAGTATTTACATTACACTTAAGGGAAACCATGAAATTCTCATGCAGTCAGTCCTTTGAACCATCAAGAACAGAATCTGCATTGAATTACCACAAATTTGTTACTTCAATATACCGGGCAGGTTAAGATTCTGTTATTTTGTTTATCAATAAAAAATTATTTATTATTATAGGGAATTTCAACAGTGTCAGTATTAATCACCTGGGGGTTAATGCGATTTCAAAAGAATGTCAATGACAATAATGGCAGTGATTGATCCCATTCATTACAAATATATATGTACGATAAATAATATGTAAATCAAAATTATAATTTAAACTAATGGTAAAACATTAATTCTCAATCTCTTTTAAAAACTGTAATAACTTCTCTGGATTGTGTCATTTCCAGATCATTCTATGGCCTGTGCAGCTGTGATGATGCAATAATTGGGAACCAAAACTTTTCTCTTCCTGTGCTTCCATATTGCATAACTACACACTTTAGCTTCACTCTCTGCTACAATATAATTTCGCTGGCCTCCTTTCTATATCAAATATATCAAAAATGTAAATTTTCTTGAACAGGCACGACTAGAGTACCAAGGGATTGCGGCCACAAACATCAACTGGAAAATAAAAATGGAATTAAAACCGCTTCGACTGCCAATTTTTTTAAATATTACCAAGTCAACATATTAGCATACTATGCAATCAGAATTCTTCTTCTTCAGTATGGATCTAAGTATGCATCAACATTGCTTGACATTTTTCTTGCTATTATTATATTATCAATTAGTCGGGCAAGATCTTTACCAGTAGCCTGAGACCTCAATGGAAAATTTATTCAGCTCTTCAAATCATCATTTTGTGATAAATTCAAAGGCAATGTGGAAGAAGTGAATCATCAAATTTCTTTTTCAGCATTTAAAAAATAACCTATCATCCTCCCGCTGTGGTGTTTTGCAAGTGCGTCAAAAAATAATCATGCGATAAATCCAGAACTTCGAATGTCTAGGAAAAGGAATATTGAATTTGCTTTGGCCATCTCTACAATATTTAGAGATAAAAAAAAAAGTGCTTTAATTCATCAGTAAATTACTGCTAATGAGATTCAGCATTACCGTTATTCAAGGTCATCGATCTGTGTTTAATGTGCTTTTCAAGTATGTGCGACAGAAAATTATTTGCGCTTCCCACTTTTTCTAATTCAGTCAAAAGTGGTTAATTCGGACACCC